AGCTTCTAATTCGTCGTTAACATTGAAGTATACGGAGATAAAACAACACAAGTATTGATAACAGTATCGTTTGTCCTGAAGCTTATCGGTAGTCCGGTATTGACCCAATTACATACCAGTCCCCAAAAAAATACCGGTTCTCGGTACCCATCCCTACACATGAATAATAATAAATTATTTAAAAATATATTAAAATTTACTGTGAATCAAATTTCATTCAGATATTGCTATATAAATAAGTGTTTTCTTGACAAACGTATTCCAATATTTTGATTTACAACTTAAAAAAAAATCATTTGATTATAAATCGATTCATCTCATCATAAATTGAAGGCTTTGAACGTCTCACCTCTGAGGGTTTGGCCACGTCTTTCTCATCCTGGTATTTGGCCCAGGGGCCGAGGAAGCTCTCGATGTCTGACGCATCTCCACCTTTCACCTTCTTCCTCTTCTCGGTCTTCTTTTTATTTCAGATAAATGCTGATCTTTGGATCTTTCTATTCATCAAGGAATCCTGAAAAAATGTACTCAACTGTTTTAAATATTAATAATAATAATAAATGTTTTTTAAGCACCAAATCAGCATATTGGAATGATTTCTGAAGGATCATGTTACACTGAAGACTGGAGTATGCATGCTGAAAATACAGCTTTGATCACAGAAATAAATTACAGTTTAAAATATATTCAAATAGAAAGCAGTTATTTTAAATAGTAAAAATATTTCACAATTTTACTGCTTTTGCTGTACTTTGTATCAAATAAATGCAGGCTTGCTGAGCAGAAGAGGCTTCTTTAAAAAATATAAAAAATATCACTGTTCAAAAACTTTTGACTTGTAGTGTAAATCGAGTCCACTTTGATTGAATGTTGTTATTGACAATATTTATAATTGCGAAACATTTATAATTGATGAAAATGAAAGAAGAGATGCTGAATCACATGAATCAAACCTTTGTTTTTCTCCGCTTCTTCCACGGCTCCAATGTAGCTGCTGGATGAGACCTCACTGGTGTCCACAGATGGGTCCAGAGCGTAACCTGATCAATCACACACATCTGATATTCAGCATACATGTTCTGCGAGTGATTCGAAGACACACGAGTGTGAATGACGTGTATCTCTCACCGAACGTGGAGAACGTTCTTCTCTGCTGCTCAAACATGAAGTCGTTGACATGAGCCGGTTCGGCGTAACCAGACAGCATGTTTCTCGGGGCGGACATCTGTTTCGATCTGAACGGGTTTGTTGGTCCAAACTGGAATGAGATGAGAGAATTGATATAAACTAGATAAAAAAACTTTGTCAAGACAAACTTTAGGTTAAAGGGGTCATATGATGCGATTTAAATTTTTCCTTTCTCTTTGGAGTGTTACAAGCTCTTGGTGCATAAAGAAGATCTGTAAAGTTCCAAAGACTAAAGTCTCAAATCCAAAGAGATATTCTTTATAAAAGTTAAGAGTCAACCACGCCTACCTAAAACGGCTCGTTCTAACACGCCCCCACATACCTACATCACTATGTGGGAAGATTTGCATAACAACGCCCAAATGTTCACGCAAAGAAAGAAAGCGTAACTTTTATTCTCGCTGTAGTATTGATACAAATAAAAGTAATGCTTGTTACATACTATTGACCCAGTACTGACACATATTATTTATTAGGTGGTTGGCTTTGTTTATTAATTTTTGTTTCTTTGTTTGTTTGTAATCAAAGATAAAGTACACGTTATATTTGTGTGTCGAAGATAAGGCTTTATTTTTGACAAAAGCTTGGTGTTCAGTTTAATAAGATTTAATTTTTTTTTAGCTAGCTTTATTTTATTTGAATCATGTTTACATGGTATGTCTACAATTTAAAGTAATGGGTTGCGTTTTTCACAATTCAGAAAGGGCTTTTTTCCTCAGATAACTTCCTCAGACATCAAGACAATACAATATTAAGTAGCCTACGTCACATTACCACTAAAGAAACCTGTGAAAACCCCCACTTCCATTGTTTCATTCAGGCACATTTCCGAGCAAATTAGAGGGAAACGAATATTCTCGAAGCTCTTAAAGGGGTCATATGACGTTGCTAAAAAGAACATTATTTTGTGTATTTGGTGTAATGAAATCTGTTTATGCGGTTTAAGGTTCAAAAAACACATTATTTTCCACATACTGTACATTATTGTTTCTCCTCTATGCCCCGCCTTTCTGAAACGCGCCGATTTTTAGAAAGCTCATCGTTCTGAAAAGCGAGGAGTTCGCTGATTGGCCAGCTATCCAGTGCGTTGTGATTGGCCGAATACCTCAACAGAGCGACAGACCAAACATGGATCCAGCAGCAGTCTCCCCAGTCCACATGCACCAAGGACCACATTAGAAACTTTTTTGGACATTGCATATTTAACCAACCTGCCAGACTAAGCACTTACG